ATGTGTTCATTAATACACTGTACGTTTTGCACAACATTTATTTGTTAACCACACTTATTTTATTCCAATTATGATTGGTGACTGGACGTACAACATATATTCTCAAATTATGCGACATTACTCTCAGAAAACAGCTCGTTCATTGCTTTAATTTGAAATAGCAGGACCAAAACGCAATTCAAGTGCTTATAACCACAGTGTTGCGACCGAACATCCAATCATGCATGCATTCATGAGATTAGCAGATATTGTAAGAATATGTGTTTGGATGACTAAATAGATCGTGCAGTTAAATAATAATATAGTAGTACATCAAAGGATTCTTAATATAGTAGTACATCATATATAATAAGATAATATAGTAGTACATCAAAGGATATACACATCAATAAGATAAATACATCAATAAGATAATATAGTAGTACATCAAAGGATTTCCATATTTTGAAAAACGACCCTGAAACATCTTCCATTTTCTCCGATAACCCCTTAGTCTCTTTTCGACACAGCAAAAATATCCGTGAAACCCTTGTCCATAGCTCCCTAACACAGGCTTCGACGTCACAGAAAGGCACTTTTCCTTGCCTGTCGTCGAAATGTAAAATCTGTGATTTTGTAGATTCCACCACTATTGTTTCGGCACCTAAATCTGAATTTCACATCAAGCACCATTTCACGTGCGCCTCCTCCCATCTCATCTACTGCATCTCTTGCAGCAGATGTGGCATGTTTTACATTGGGGAAACTGGAAGATGTTTAAGGACAAGGTTTGGTGAGCATCGGCGTGCAGTTATTAGCAATGATGCTAACCAACCTGTTGCCAGACATTTTAATGATGGCAATCACAGTGTTTCAGATATGTTAATTCGAACCCTCTGTCCCATTTCTGGAAGCAACGATAGCCGGAAACGACATGAAATGCGCCTCATATCCAAACTTGGCACTGTTCACCCTTCTGGCATTAATGAACGCTTTTCTTATGTTTAATGCCATCATAGACAATCCAGAAGACATGTCTTCTGTTTTGTCTATGATGCCATCTGTCTTTGCCTGTCTATAGCGGACATTGACAACTTCTATTTATTACTTTTACTTTTACTTTTACCTTATTCCCACTCGTGTTTTGTTTTGATTATTTTTTGTAGTAATTGTCTTAACTTCCTGTTTATTTTTATATTTTTAATATTTTATTCTGTAATGCGATTTACATATTTTGTTTACACTTTGTTATTATTAAATCCATCTAATTGGTTTATTTTTTTGTCACGTGATGCTTTCATACTCTTAGTATAAAAGCCCGTGCATTTTCCCCGATCCCTGGTGTATTAAAATGAGTGCTGGCGCCATAATTCATTGCCGTTAAATGAAATTTCCAATGTAGCCAGCTGCTTATACGTGTTTACTCAATGACATATGCCAGAAAACGAATCGTGCACGATAAATCGCAGCGTGTCAAACGTAGCTTAAGGCCCTGTCACACTATTGCGTATCGTACTAGTGTATGCCAGCGTATGAAAAATATCACTCATACGCCTGTATACGCTGGCATACGCTAGGTGTACGTTAGGCATAGGTTGTATACGTTTTAAGCACGGTCGCGTTCAGTGGCATACTCTGGCGTACAGCGAGGCAGAAATTTTTTTTAAACATGCTCAAAAATTCTGTGCGTATCGGACGTATGTTTTATACGATAAGCATACTCTAGGCATACGCTGAATACGCTAGAGATACGCCAGATGTACGGTACTCATACGCTAGCATTTCAAAGGATTTTTGTGCGTATGAAAATTATTTCATTAATTATTTTCATACGCTTCTCATACGTTTCTCTGATACGCAATAGTGTGACAGGGCCTTTAATAAATTTCTGTTTGCGCTTCACACTGCTGCGTTTTTACTTCAGTTTAATTTCCATTATATAAATGTCATAAGGAAATATATTTTGACAAAAACAACAAATGCCTCCCTCATGGAAAAAGTTCAAATTGTTCCTGTGAAAATTTTAACACAATGATTATAAGATTTGACGTTAATGAGACGTATAATTTGTGATAAACATATATTTGTACTGTACCTTCGAAAAGATGTTGCAACGCTCGTGAATCGAAAACGAATGATTAACGACGTAACATCACTTATTCGATTTATCTTTATAGCCAAGTCATGCACTTCTTCCGATTAACACCCACTCGAACACTTGCATATGCCTCTTCACAATCTGCTTCGGTGCTTAGTTTTTACACATCTTTATATTAGTAAAAATATAGTCAGTGCATATATTAATGAAAACTAAACCTTCGGCTGCTTTAGGCTCCCTTCTGTTATTAAAATTAACATTAAAAAATCGCCTCAGCATGTTGAAATTAGTTTGATATTAATAATTATACAATATCTTAATTTGTTTTTCTCTTATCAACTCCAAAAGCATTATTTTCATATAATCATGTCAGACTATCAGCCTAGGCAACTGTTGATATGGAAATGCGAAAATATGAAACATATTATTCAGACAAATCAAGTTATCAAACAAATAAATCACCCTTAAGTTATTGGCGTTCATTTTCCGAAAATTTCGCAATGTAAAATTAATGCTATATGAGTTGGCCTTTATAACGGCCGCCATCTTTATTAAATGGTGCGGCACATTTTCCGCATGCAGTCCAAATTTCTAATCTTTTAAAATGATGACTTATGTTGTAAATGCATTAACGTTAAACGGTCAACGAAAATTAAAAATAAAACAATTAAAAGCAATTTTTGTAGCGAATGCCTTGCGTCGTGAAAGTTGGCAACTATAAGTACTGTTTAATAAACGAGTAGGAGTGTTTTATCACATATAAAACACGACGCGTAGCGGAGTGTTTTATATGTGATAAAACACGAACTACGAGTTTATTAAACAGCTTCAAAAACGTCTCAGTTAGATCACGGCATTGGCGAAATAATTTTTCAAAATAACTTTGTATTAGCTGAGAAAATACAAGTTGAAATTTGAAGCGTGTTTTATCACATATAAAGACACGCCACGCTTATGATTTCTCTTTGTGTTTTCCTCATGAATTATTAATGAGTTTTTGATGTCCTTTTTATATTTCCATGGCGATGTTTTGATTTGTGCATGTACTTAAATATACAAACGGCGTCCACAATATAAAATAAAACCGTACATGCAGAGTATAGTTAAGCCCAGATCAAACGAGGACGAGAGTGCATGAGAGCAGTCACGCGATCTTGGTTCGTATATATATATGTTCTTAACTCTTTCCCGATACCATCGTGTATTTTATTTGAGTTAAAACAGTTAGAAAACTTAAAAACCTTTATTTTGTTAATCTAGAGCTTGAAATGTTCCCTCAGTAACATTTCGTGACTGCCAACTTTCATCAACTCTAATTTGTTATAATGAAAGGTTTCCGCATTGAATAATACCGCCTGCAAAATTTGAACATAGTTAACCCCGTATAGTTAACCGGTAGGGCTATATAATGAATAGGATATGGATTGAGTCTTAAAATTTTAATGAAATTTTAATGACGACAGCACTTTTGGTGATTTGCTATAACATAAACTTCACATGTAGTTGGAATTGGAGCTTGATTAGAGCAAGATATTATAAGGGAGATGCAACGTGATATGCAAATTTTGTTTTCAGAGAAAACCGGTCTCAACCAGTTTTTGCAAAATTGTAAAGACAACCACTGCCGTATAGTTAGGTTAACCAACTTAGTACGGTGCCGTGCTTCGAGCCTTCGATAGGTTTGTCACTGATTGTATAGCAGAAGTTTGCTTCGGTGCATAATGAAACTGGAGTTAGTATCAGTTTTAGTTCGCACAGATTTATTTCAAAACATCAAAAGTAACCCTCCTGCAGGCCATCTTAATAATGGTAACTGCAATCTCGTTCCCTGAGCCTGCGATCGCAGGCTCGGGGAACGAGATTGTGGTAACTGGGACCATGCATGTGCATAGTCGCTTATACGCGCAGTGCCAGATCATTTCCACAGGTAGAGAACGGTTAACCCTAGTTTATTTCGACAGTGTCCTCACACTGTAGTGTTCTTTTAGTGTACAATTTTAAAATTCATAAATTTTAATTCGGTACTAAGGAATGTTATTCAAGCTCTTATCCTGCATGCTTCATATAATTATATACTAATCGTGCATGGCATAATAAATTATTATGTTGGCCGAGAACCAGAAAGGGGATATTCGATCGTTGAGTTGGTCAGGCACAATAACGAACCCTGTACCTTTTAGAGCTTTATAAATTATTACCAAATTAAATTAAATTAAATTGCAATGACCTGCATGACTGGGTCCCGCCAGTTGTGAGCAGATGGAAATCATAGTCGGTCTTAATTAATGAAAGTAATCTTAGCTTTTTGTGATTTGTGCCTGAGAAATTCGTATTTTAGTCTGATTTAACTAGAAATACATATATGCAGCCATGCGCCCGCGATTATTGATGAACTTTAGACTTTGCTAATGCTTCACTTTCCCCGGGTATAAACAGCCGAGCGGAATTAGTACCCTGGCCTCGGACTATTACTGACCCTGGTTTCGTGCCATTGGTTCGGGTATTAATGTAAGATGATATAAAATTATGCTAAAACTGATACATGCATTATAGAATGTCGATATGTACATTACATGCATGCTGTATTAAATGCAACTATAGTTCCTCTGGCAGGAATTGAACCTGTGTCCCTGCAATTCTACTGCAGCATTCTAATTAACCAACGGAGTCATGCAGTTGTCGACCTGTAACCACAAGTTCATGTAATTATACTCGAGTGATACCAGTTTAAGGTGTATGGGTAAATCGGGATTTTGCGCATCTCACTCGATAGAATTAAATGTTAGAATCCTGTTCGAATCTAACCTCAGTTGATTAGAGGTTCGATTCCTGTCAGGCAGCCTATAGTTGCGTTTTTTGCCACTGCTCCTGGTTGGCTCTGAAATGTGTAAAATTTACATTCGAAATTTCCATCTACAAAAACCCTCAAGCATGCAGTTGTTCTATTGAGTGAAATCCCAAAAAATCCTGATAATTTCCCGCCAGTAAGGTATGGAATTTCTAGTCATAATATACCAGTCAAAAGTGCCATCGATTTATTAATTGCCTCAACAGTTATAATTTAAATTTGCACAACAACAATATATCAGATATTCCGATGTAATTACTGTGAGGTTCTCTACTTGCATGATAATATATTCATCGTTATCAGGTGGCTTTTTTTCCTATTGAAACAAAAAATAATATTAGTTTAGTAATATTTAGAGACAATGAATGATTAACATTGTGTGGGACACACAGTGTCATTTTCATAAGAACGAAACCATAAAATGAGTTTGGAATTCAGCGTGAAAATGTTGAAAAATCCTCTCATGGAGAGGGAGATATTGGATACGCATGCACATCAGATTTCTAATGTGAGATAATTATTAAAGTTATTATAAAAGGAAATGAAAATATATGTTCATGGCAAGTTCAATACATTCAAATATTATTTGTATAGGTAATCACAGGGGAAGGAGTGCAATTAATGATTAACACTACGAGTAATATTTGAAAAATGTGCCAAAATTGCACAAGCCGCCGACTCGCCCGTGTAATTATTTGTTTATTATATGCATGACAAAATCGCGTTCTTTAAAATTCAACTGCATTCTGTCAAGACTTTTTCATGCTTCTGTGAGCAATTTGGCATAAACAAACTTGTGAAATGATCATAAACTCATAAAGGCACATGACTTAACTAGAACATATGATTCAAACTCAAACAACATATTTTAGAGTAAAAAATCTTTATAAATTGTATTACAGACTTTGCTACATAGTCACGTTTCGCTGCATCCCGCTGAGATTATTTCTTAAAACTGTTTCCAGGTATTTTCCACAGTCTCTTTTTGCCATACTATGTTTATTAAACTTATTCTTGTGCCAAAATTGAGTTAAATTCGTCCACGTTTGTTATTTATACAAGATAAATTTCGCCGCCATATTGGATTTACGGCAATTCATGAAATAACTGCATTCCTCTTAACCAATCAGATTGCAGTAATTTTGTCATGTATATAATAAAGAACTTAACTGTTCGTTTGAATTAGTTATAAGCAATACTAAATATTCTAGGGAAGATTTGATGTTACGATTGTAACATCAAATTACGGTTTTTGATATAAAATTTTAAACTGCGTTGTAGGAGGCGACAATAGAACATATAAAATTGACTGATATTTCTCTTTGCAATCTTTAAATATCTGCAAAGAACACCAAGCATCATCGGTCTGATTTCAATCTCATTTCACCAGAAGCAAAAAAATCCAGTCTTGCCTCGTATTATACATCTTTCCTTTGATTCCATTTGCCGTTGTTGCGTCTTCTGTTCTTTAAGTTTACCTACTTTTGGGTTTTGACATGTTTTCTGTTATATTAATTGGCATATTCTCATCCCCGTGTTATCTATGCCCATCAGTGGTCTGGGTACTGATTACGCATTCATGGCTATCATTTCTCACCATGCGTAGAAATAAAAGAAGTTATTTTCAGTTACTTTTAGCTCATGCAAATGCTCGTTTAAAATTTAAACTGAAAAACTCCGAAAAAGTCCATGATGATGACTACGAAAATTGATTTGATTATTGACATCTTGCTGCGATAGTCCATGGTCACCCCCTGCATTCATAAATATTTAACACTTTTTATCCTTAGTACACTGCAACTATGCATGCGGTTGCTTTGTAAGGCAAATCTTGTGAAAACGTTTAAAATAACTTAAAACAAAACAAATAAAGTCTAACCGAAAGTAGTTACGAAAAATAGAAGTACGGTATCAATCGGTTGGCAGCCCAAGTCTTGAGAAGTAAATTTAAGCATTCTGAGATTTAAACTTACTTTTTTCACATGTGAGACCAGCAGACCTAACGTTAGCTCCCCTGTAAGTTCTGAAATATATGCTGCTTCCTTTCCACTTAATTATTGCCCCATGCAAACGTCTTGTCTTTGTTTTATACATCCAACGTCCGGAAACGCCCGGGTATCCCAAATAGTTACAGATGTTTATCGCGTCCTGAAGTTTTAGCCTGTGAAAATAGATTGCTACCCATTTGTTCCTATCTAAGTATTCTGCTATGCCAGAATTAGATATTGCTCCGATTCGCTTGAGACGGAATTCTTAAAAATAAGACAAAAAGAAAGAATTAATATTTCATACAACACTAATAACACACTAATTAATAACACACTACATTGTGGTGTATGTACTCAGGTGAAATTATTTGAGGTGTTGTTACACCTATCTGCAGTCAATTGTGTTCTCAAATTAATGTAATGGAAAAAGTTTGCATCAATAATAGACGTTTCGACCTTGATATGTCCAAAAAATACACTTCGACAAAAGCCAAACTTCATAAAATATAAGCATGAGATATTTTAATATCTTAAAATATTTTAATATTTTATCATGAGATATTTTAATATCGCTTAAAAACGACTAAACTTCAACAAACAAACATTCAAAGATGCTGTAATGACCATGAATGTATTGATTGTGGTGTATCAACTCAAGTGAAATTGTTTGAGATGATGTTACTTTGAGATTGTCCATGCACACAGGAGAAGCTGAAAGGTTTCCTTGGCAGCGGTGGGAATCGAACCCTCGACCCATGATTGATTCGGTCGGTGTGGCATCATCACTGACTCAGTTGTATTTTTGATAAAATATTTGCCAACCTGATAAGTCAAATTTTCTAACGAGTGACAAAAGTAAGAATACTTTACAGTGAATGTACTAGCCTTAGTACATTCACTGTAAAGTATTCTTACTTTTGTTGTTAAAAACTTGACATGTCTTTAACATGCAAACTAACATGCCTCACCCTTGGCCCTTAGCTTTCGTTACTATTGGATCATTCAAACATTTAGCGTTCACTATACGTATCCCAGATTGCAAAACAGATTGCTCACAAGCATAATCGTTAAAAAAAGTTCGGACAGATTTACCAGAATATATGTTAAATTCAGGTTATTTCATTACAATCCTTCACAAAATTCGGGCAAACTTTCAACTCCCCCCTCGTCACACAGTGCACATATCTATTGTATTCACACTAAAATGGCTGAGAGAATGGCCACAAAAACTAGGCATCCCAAAATCTACTTTTTCTTCCATTCTCGCCCCAAGCTACTTCCGCATCACATCCTATGCATGAGCGCCCTGATTGGGGGCTAATCCCAGTCCGTCCTGTCACCATTCCCCATGGGAAGAAACCGGCGTACCCGGCGAAAAACCACGAATTTCGGTATTGACTGACCATCACAAAATCATGAATATCTTGAGTACTAGCCCGGAACGAGAATTGAATCCACGTTATCGGATGTAAAATTAAAGGAAATTGCTCTGAGGTTGCCGTTAGTTGAAGTTTAAGGCTTTTATACTCGATGGAATAATTAACAGTTATTCTACGAACTCGAATCGAATATGAGCTGATAGCCGATGAGACGCGTAGCGCCGAATTCATATTCGACGAGACTGAGCGGAATAACTGTTTTATTATATACACAAGGTCTGAATTCATATTTTTCTATTTTGTTTATGTTTTTATCTTCGCTCTTTCGGCAGAGTATTTTTTCCAAAATATATATTTTTAACCAGTTTAAATTATAAACATTCATTTGCTAACCTGCAAACAATTTGTGGGAGTTTTTTTCATTGTGTTTTTATTAATCCTGTAAAGGCTATAAAAAGCGAACAACTTGCCGTTTTCTCGTTCGCAAAACATCGGGAATCAGCAGTTTGAGCCGCCATTTTGTTTTTCTCTACCCGCAGGATATGAGCTAATATCCTGCTAGTAGAGAACCAATCAGATGCAGAATACCTCATATCCAGGCCTTGGGTATATAATACATAATTTTACATTTAATTCAAACGCACTCGCTGTGATGTTTGGTAGAAACAAATTGGATGCACTCGTCTTACAGTCTTTGGCGAGCTGAATTAATTGCTCTCTTTTCAATCACGTAAACCTTGCCTGCACCATTTACTTCTGCCGCTGGGGTTCCTCTCGTATATGTGTTGTGTGCTCCTGGTATCAGTTGTACTAACTTATATGTACTACAAGACGATTTATCATGAAAAGATTGAAAACATACGTTTTATGTGACAATGGATATGCAGTTCGGTGCCATTTTGACATTTTGTAGTATTTCCATCAACAGTGTGATTGAAAATTTGATTTCCGTCGGCATAACCCATCCTTTGACAATATTTTGTAACAATGAGTTTCTTTAGCTTGCGTTTACTACAAATTGGTTTCCACACGCCATTAACATATTGCTGTAGCTCTCTTTGGTTCAGTCCTCCTCCACTCTTAAAGCGAAAATCTGTGAAAACAGAACATTTCTCTAGATTATCTCAATAAAATCCTCTCGCTCAGTTCAATGAACCGATGTATTCATGGTAAACTGATTTGACTAAAATGAATACTATACGTTTCTTCATATATTGATTGACTGCCAAAACACATGCACATAAACTGATCGCATTGAGCTGAGACCAACTATAACGATTATAATACGGCAGAAACGGAAAGCGTTCTTAACACAAATAAGGAACGATTGTGAACTAGTTGTAAATGGTTAATGCAAGTTTAGAATCAACCAAGATGGCGCCACGTGACACGTAATGACGTCATTAGCAAACAAAGAAATTAACATGTTTGTGATGTTACTCTGAGTGCATATCCACTCCGGGCGAGCTTGAAAAATATGCCCGGCCACGGTCAAGCTCGCCCGGAGTGGATATGCACTCAGAATAACATCACAAACATATTATTCACCTGAGTACACAACACCAGCACAGAAAAAATTCAAAGAAATTAACATTTACATTGTCAAAAACAAAACACTTATAAAACACTTATTTCATACATGTTAAAATATATTGTTTTCATAATAATATGAGATCTATAATAGACCTAGACCTTTGGTTTTCATAATAGACCGAAATATTATAATCCAATAATGCGTGTTGATGGAAATTTCGAGGGAAAATTAGTTACCTGTTAAATTAAAGAACTCACAGAGAGCATAAGCCCAGCGAACACTGGAGCTATCAGCTGAGCTGAGCGTCACTCGTGACTGTTGGCGTGAGCAAGTTATCCCGGTGTGCTGTGGCGTTTTGAGCGATTTCAGCCGCGCGTGGCATCGGCACGGAATATTCAACATGTGAAATAATTTTAGTCACGAACGAACATTTCCTCCTTCCACCTTTCATTGTAGATCGAATAGGCATGCGTAATAAAACATAAGACAAAAGAAAATTAATTAAAATGAGGAACGCAATACTTGAATAGCGACATATAAATATTCCTCATTAATTGTTTTCCTTTTGTCTTATATTTTATTGCGCATGCCTACTCGATGTACAATGAAAGGTGATAGCTTTTCGAGCCACACTTGGAGGACGAAATGTTCATTCGTGATTGATATTATTCAACATGTTGAATATTCGGTGCCGATGGCATGCGTGGCTGAAATTGCCCAAAACGCCACTGTACACTGGAGGAACTTGCTTACGTCAACAGTCAAGAGTGACGCTCAGCTGATAGCGCCAAACCAGCGGCCCTGCAATTCCAGTGCAGCGAAAGTTTGCAAAAAAATTTCATCACTCAAAATTTTCATCAACAGAAACCCTTCAACATTCGAGTCTCGAGAATTCTGTTCTGTCGAACAAAATCTCAAATGGTTATAATACATAAATATACTACCATTATTGCATTCAACTGAAGCTTTCCATTCGGACACACTTTCTTTCTTTAACTGGAGCCAAGGACGTTTTGGGCAGTCAATTAATTTCGTTTCGTTGCCTTTACAATGCACTCCCTTCTGCCACAACATTTGAGGTTGACTTGTCGCTTTTGTTTTTACTAATCGGAATCTTTTTACACCAGGTTTGTTCAACTGACGGCAAACAACTTGAGCGTTTTGCAAAGTCCAGTTTTCTCCTGCAACATGACCCCAAATTCCCTGGTGCATTATCTGTATTTCATCAATAATTAAAAATCTAGTTTTCATTTGAACGAGACGAAGATCTGAAAGATGAAGTTAAAATAATTCGCATGATAAATAAATACGGGTGATCGGCATATATTTTACAGTAGCCAGGAAAATGTTCAATGAAAATAAATGTCAACTGAAAATCCCTATAGTAGAAAGCTGATTAAATATAGGGCGCCGTTTCCGGATTGCGATTGAATGCCTACAGATAAAGCCCAACAACGAGGCTTCGCGCAACATTTTAATGTTTCTATAGCAAATTTAGCATTAAGCCTCGATTTTAGAGCTCAATTTAAAAGAAAGTACGTACCTACTGATAAACATCTCCCTCCCTGTGGGAGCCACTTCCAGACTTCCTAAGAAATATGCCCCGGGCCTAGATTAAAGGGAGGGCAAATTTCCTTGGACACCGGTTTGGCTTCTACAGCGCGCTACAATTACTTTTTGTAAATGCTGGATTGCGGATTTGTGTAACAATGTGAAATGACTTAATCAACCAAGACGCACATGTAATTATATTTATTATACAATATTGTAGTCACTACGTATCCTCTGATTGGCCAGTTGCTTACAGCTTAAATATGGAAATCACGCAACCTACATATAACTCAGTTATCTGCTAGCAGATAACTGAGTTTTGTGTAAGTTGAACCCGCAGTAAGTAATTTTAAAGCAAGCGGCAGTTCTATATACCCGAATAAAAACAAGAGAAAACAACATGAACGAATGGCGTTTTTGTGAATGTTTTTGTGAAAAAGCAGACTTTTTGACATTTGTATCGAAACTGTAATAGGTATAAATGAGGTTCTAAAATTTTTATGCTGTTATTGTGATATTTTAAATCGCTATCACTACTTTTTTGAGAAATAAACGTTGTTTTGTGCGATAAATCATTGTTTGTCGAAACTAGTTATTAATAAAGATGCAATGTATATGATAAAACAGTTATTGAATTCGGTTTTTGTGCATTATATCCCAAACTACCAAGCTCTCGGTATAAGTGTTATCAATCTTGCCTTCGGATCGACTGATAACATTTACCTCAACCTAGATAATTCTGGATATCACGAAAAACTCATCCAAAAACTGTTTATTATCATATCAACCCAACTTAGTGTGAATAGTTATAAACCATTTAGTGTGCATTGAAGATATTTTACTTTAATGTTTATACATATATAGTAAAAATGGAAGATCATGGTTTTAGTACTTTTTCAGATCTTTTTCTCGAAAAACATAACCTTTAAAAGTTGCACATAGATAATGTGTAATGTATAACTGTTCTAATTCCAAAGCGACATACAAGACATAATTACCCAATCAAGAGAACGCTTAATTTTAATATGTTCCATTTCCACATATAATTTCACAATCCTGTTTCGAAACTATAATTTTAACTCATATTATGAACTTTTATTTTCATTTCTGAAAGAATATAATGAAACTAAAATTTCATATCGTGTGAAAATTATGAATTTCACTTCCACATGAGACTGTATTGCATGTCGTAGGTGAAATTGGTCTAAGGAAAAAATATAAAGTATTTATCCCTACCTCCTTCGTTACCAACACATCTTACATGCACTGATCCTTTAGCACAACGCACTTTAGTATCTTCTATACGGAAACAGTTATGGAGATATTTCTCCTTCCCAGTGCAGTTAGTCTTCATTATTAAATATTCCAAGAATTTGTTAGAATAATTTCGTAACAGTCCTTTAAAATCCACAGCCTTTGAATAACCAAGTTCGCGGCAAACGACATTGGCTTCAGTTAATGTCCAATGTTTTGTACAAACCTTTTTCCAGGAATTGTTATGGTATATCTCTAACTTGCCTTCGTTATCATTTACAGAACCAGCCAGTCGGATATCTAATTAAACGAGATGGGACACCATATCAGACCTGCCTAAGTGCATGTGTTGTGAGTAAAAGGAGGGACGTTACAAATATTTATGCGTTTTTTTGCGCGCGACGTGAGCTGGCAACAACCATTATCTCATGAAATCTGCCTAAGGAATTACTGTGATTCTATTGATGGCCAACAGCAACAGTAATTTAATATGGTAGGTCTCTACCATGTCATTTGTAAAAATGTGTTACAGTCAGCGCTGCACTTCGCAGACACATACGGAATGCACATACCCAAATACGCAAGATAAAAAGATTTAATTGAAATAAATTAAATAAATTAATTACTTACTCATTTTGCAGATTACACCAGAATTTAAACGATACCTCACGTGTTTAAAATCACCTTGAACCCAATTGCAATCTTGTAACCGACTTTCGGTTCCATTGCATTTGATCTTTTCGGACCAAATAGTTCCTCGTGACACATGAGGAACTTCGTTATGATTTAATGGCCTGAAAGCATCAAGGTAGCCAAGCTGTCGACAGGCAACTCTAGCTTCCGCGTATCCAAACGAATTTTTAAGGCTATTGAGAGTTCCCCATATTCCTTTGTAGAGGACTTCAATTCTTCCAGCATGATTTGAGTTAAACCCATTTAATCGTATTTCTGAAAGTGAACCTTGTAAAATTAGAAGGCTACATTAAATGCAGATAATTGGCATTATGCAAGAAACAACGGCTGCTATTCTACTTAGGGAAACATATTCATTGCTACTTTACCGAGCTCACATTTCGGTGAGCAAATGATTTGAAAGTATACCAATAGAATAGTTCAGTTTGATTTGCTATATTTTTTCTTTCCATGTTCACATAACTACTAAATTTTTCTAGTTTACATTTGCGAGGCCACATTTCCATAACAAATTTGTAACATACAATAGGTCCAATATTTTTCGTGCTACCCGAATGGAAGGGGACCTAAATTTAAATTTCCTCATGCATTGTGTATAGAAGAAATGACCAGTTTCCTTACACTAAATACACCCAACTGATTTTTTATGAATGTGCATTTTCGTACTACTAAGGATCGATATTGATAACAAGACAAATCGAGCAAGTATAGATCAATTCCGACCAATGGTAGAACTGGATTTTACGCCCAGGTCTGATCCAGACAGGGCTGTGACGACTGGGGAGGGGGTGTAACACCCTACCAAAGACAAGTCAAGAAAGGGAGCCTAATTTTTATTCAGAGGGGCCCCCAAATGCTAGCTTAGCCTGTGAACAGTAGTTTATTCAGGTGGGGCTAATAATAACAAACGTCTGCTGGCATGTCTTGCAATTTTGGGAGACTTTGTTCGCCCACGAACGAAGCATTCTGATTGGAGAATTATGGTCACATGGACATATATGATTGACATTAAGTAGGCGGTCTGTGTTTATTACTCAGGTCAGCAAAAATTTGCAAAACTTTGCTGATGTTAAATTTATTTATAGATGAATATGGTAGAGTAAATGCGAAGAATGCTTTGGGCCAGTTTAATAGGGGGAATATTTTGGATGTACTACATGTGAGATTGTCAGGTTCTGTTAAGCTGCTAGTTCGCTTGAAGAGTCTTATCAAAGTGTTAAAAATGCATTGAACCTTGATGAAGGTCGTTGTGGACTTCCTCAGACTAAAGTGGATTTTATTTACGGTCTATACTATTACAGTGTTATCAAATTATTTTTTTGCATAGACAAATCAGAATAATGGTTCCGCATTAGCCTAGTTAATTATAGTTACTTGATCACAGGTTTCGATTGAAGTTTACTTGTCTGCAGTATCTTGGGATATGAATTTATTAAAAACACCTGAATCGCAAAATTGATTTAATTATAAAAATACTCAACATTGAGTTATTTCAATGGTCACTATGCTAGGATTATGATATAAAAATTATAAAGGCCATAATGATCGTAATGATTATAAATTAATGAGGATTATAATGATTATAATGATTTTAATGGGTACGTACTATTTAGAAAACGAGCCATCAAATATCAAACACGATACTCGAGCAATACGAGCAACTCGAGTGTCTTATATCTGATAAAGCACGGACTGCGATTATAATGATTGTAACGATTATAATTTTTAAAATGATTATAACGATTATAATGATTATAATGATTATAAAGATTATAAAGATTATAAAGATTATAAAGATTATAAAGATTATAAAGATTATAAAGATTATAATGATTACAATGATTACAATATAAAGTCCAACAAATGATATTTTATTTTATAATACAGTAAATCCACTTACCATTTCCTTTACATTGAACATGTACGAGGCGTGTACATTGTGAACTTGAGCGATACCGTAAACGACATGCTCTCAAACTTTCTTCTTTTCCCGTACAGTCAATATCTTTCGGCCAAGTTTTTATGTTGCTAGTACCATTGGTAAAATATTGGTCAACTTCGGAGTTTCTACTGTAACCCAGTTCCCAACATACCACCCGTGTATTGGCCAAGCTCCATGTTTCCCCACAAACATGATACCAAGTCTTATTTCGGTAGATCTGAAGAGGCTCTCGAAGTACATCATTATTTCGTATATCTTTATTGAAAAGAAAAGTTTAGTTTAAACGCCAATTAAATTTAAGTTAGTTTCACGTGGTTTCACCTAGTTCAATATCAATACACGTCTTTCAAAAACGCATATCGTTCGGAAACAAAAAGTTTATGTTGAGATTCTGATCATTGTTTAAAGCCAAATTGTGATTGATATACGTATAGAAAGATATTTAGAACTCTGGGGCCGGTTGTACGAAGGTCGGATAGCGCTATCCACCGGATAGTGATTTTTTCAGCCTTTGTAAAATGCTTGAAAAACTGTGAAACTACGGATATAGACGACACAAGAAGTATAAAAAAACATTTAGCTTATAAATACTAAACTTTAATACGAGTTATACCAATCAACGACTGATTTAACAAAGCTTGAAAAAATCACTATCCCGTGGATAGCGCTATCCGGCCTTCGTACAACCGGCCCATGAATGACAGACTTTTTAATCTTATTCCAAATGTCATCCTTTGAGTCGTCTATGGATTCAGCGACACGGTTGCAAATTTCATACCATGCATTTCACTATTTTTCACAATGGGACAGCATATCTGGCGACTTTGACAGTGTAATATCTGACACTTAACAAATATAAAACATTTTCCGTGTTGATATACAGTTATATCAACACGAGTGGAAATTGGGAAAACGAGAAATTGTGTGGAAACACGACGCCCGAAGGGCGGAGTGTTTTCACACAATTTCGAGTTTTCCCAACTTCCACGAGTATTGATATAACTATATATCAATACGGAAAAAATGTTTTATATTTGTTTTATAATATAGCAATGTCAAAAGCCCGAAGAATAAGAACAATTTCCGTGTTACAAGCGGCGGAAAATTTCCCGTGTTGACATGGAGTTATATCAACACGGCTCTTAGCCAATCAGCGTTCAGAATTTACAAATGCTATATTATAAATTTTAATATTATACCTCAACATTAAATAGACCAGTCAAAAAGCATGTATCATTTATAGTACCACGACACGCAGTGGTTTTGTATGGTATTCCACTCAATTATATAATTACATAATTAAGCAATGCAGTATGAGATATAGAGGATATTATACAGCGGCGCGAAGATATGACTTTTATCTCCGAGTGGTGAAAACAGTATTTTACGAACGAAAAAATTAATGAAATTAAATGAAATTAATCGCGATATCACGCCTTGCGTCATCAATTAGCGAGCCAGCGTTCCTTTTGACAATGTTCCATCCCATGTTCGCCGGGGAACATGGGGCGGAACATTATTCGCGTAGACCGCGCGAGAGAACACGCATGACAACAACATGGCCGACAAAATATAAATAGTATTTAATAATGAGTGATGAATAATCAAATTTTAAACGTAAAACTTGGGGCTTTTCAGAATTTTGAAGCGAATTTTGAAAAATGTTGTCATTAATAATCCAAACGATCGATAGGTGATTTGAAAGAAAAGCGACGATACTTGCGTTAATTCGAAAATAAAACATCCTATTCACGAAGGTATGTATATGTGTCAAGTTTTTAATTTTCAACTTGAAGGATTTTAGTTTTCGGTATAATATATCATTTATAGACCCTCCGCTCGGGGGATTCGGCAAAATATTACCCTCAGTAATGATAATATTTCGGGTAATATTTCGCCGAATCCTTTATTTATTATGTTTTAGTTATATGAAGTATTGATATATAGTCATAAGTCACGTGTATGCATGAAGACAGAAATATAGAGATACAATAATGGCGACGAGGATTGTCAAATAATTCGTGATTCTCAGTAGTTTTATACGACGAGCATGGCAACTGCTTTCGGCCAACTTTTCCGGAATTAATTTAAGAGATCAAAGTAATTTAGCTGCCCGATGGGAGAAATATTTGAAGTGATTTACTAACCTTATGACGGCAATGAATATTCCCGATGCAAGTCGAAAACGTGCTTTGCTTCTACATTATGTTGGTGAGGAAGTGAACGATTTATTTGAGACGCTGCCAGATAAAGGAGACGATAAAGATTTTAAGAAGGCGTACGAAGCTCTCACCCAATATTTCACACCGAAAACGAATGTGTCGTGAGATCTTTAAGTTTCGAAATTTGAAGCAATGCGATGCAATTCGATGCCTTTCACACACGTTTACAGATTGCCGATCTGCCGTGGGATAATTAACAATTATTGAATGAGGTTGAGCATGATTGAATATGAAGAATTATCAAGCACGAAGTTTGTGTTATCAACCGAAGCCGAATTATGGAATTCAGCGAAATATTACCCTCAGTGTAAAGACCTGATTTCACGACGGCAAATTCTTCGTGAGGAGTTGTGTCTGCGCAGTACGGATGCTTGCACATGTGACTTTTTCCCACTTTTTTGCTTTTGCAGTGAATAGATTTCTGCATATTTTTTTCTAACGAAGCCTAATTTACCTTTACCGCGCATGTACCTAAGTCATTTCGCGCAAACTTTTTCGCATTTCGCCGGAGAAAGCGCAAGAGAAATCATCACTTCGTGTAATATTTTGCCAAATCCCCCTCCCCCCCTCTCGCTCCGGGTCTATAAATTATAATAATTGAGTTATTGTAGAACATTTTATCTCTGGAGCATATATCATGCCGTATAGAGTTACACACAAAGAGAGACTTGGATCAGTACTTAAGCCTGTGATGCGATTTTAGTCGGCCGATAAAAATCGTTTGACCTACCGATATACATTGGTATACTCCGCACACGATTACGAAAAAATACGCTCCCTGAACAGTAGCCGCCATGTTGCCAAATAAATACAAGCACGTGATCACAGCATGAAACCTGATTGTTTATACTTAAAATTCCACCGATAAAAATCGTATAATATCAAAACGTTTTGATGTTGTCCGATTAAAATTGAGCAACAAAAATGGGTTAAAAATGACACCGCACACTCCACCACGATTTTGTTAGTTTTAGTCAAACGATTTTCATCGGCCGACTAAAATCGCATCGTGTGCGCCAGGCTTTAAATAAACCAAGTCACATGACCCAGTAAGTACTACAGCATTACATTACCTGGTTCACAGACGATAGCAACCTCGGAAATAGTAGGGTAATCATTACGATTTCTTGGCTTCGTCGGACAACACAACAACTTATCTTTTATATTCTGGCAATCGAAATTATTGTAATCTCTATAACCATGATGTTCCTGGTCACGTAAGTTCTTTATTAGTCCTGGAAAACCTAGCTGAGTGCATGCCAAATGTCCTAATTCTTCATTCCAATGCTTTACACGAAGGATTTCCCAATTTCCACTGCTATTTATAGCTACTTTGCCCGAATGAACGTACTCAGATTGAACAATTTGAATTGCTGAAAATATAATTGAAAAACACTGGATATTTATTCAAAGAGATGTATTGCGTTATTTGACAGATTATGTATCGTTTTCTCATAAATAAAAATAGCATCAATTATTCCAGACTGCCTATATACAGGGTGTATCAAAAAAAGCGCAATCCTCGACTGAAATGTAAATTGCTAAACAAATAATAGACGAAAATGTTAAAGTTTACATTCATTTTAAAGCGTAGCCATTCAGCTTCTAATGGCGTAGCCATTCAGCTTCTATCAATATAATCAAAGTAATCGACGTCTGACCTAGCTAGGCCTATTCACAATGCTAAGGAATGGTGTATTTATGATGATGCACTTACATTTCGGATCACATTGAAGAGGTGGTGGAAAACGTTCTACATAAATAAAAAAAACTTGAAACTGAAATAATTGCCATATTTTATTTGATGAATCTAATAAGTCAGTTCATATTGTCTCAACTGCGCATGGCTACTGTGATAACATTCTTGAATCACAAAATTAAACTGTTACTAACCCCAAATATGATTTTAATTATACGACTGTGTAATTGTTGGATTATTATGAGAATAATGCAATCTTTAGAGCAAAAACCTCACTTGATTATATACTTTTAACTTTGAAAAGTGCCGGATGTTATGTCATTAGAGACCGCTAGGCCCATTATTTATTGCACAGGAGGGGATTGAGGAGAAATTGGAAAGGCCTTACCCTGGGTGCCAGAGGTTCTTCCACGCTCGTAGGGGGGATAATGAGGGATACACGAGGATTCAAGCTGGGCGGCGAGCGGGAAGAACCTCTGGAACACTTCTATGGCTTTTACTGTTTTAACTGTCAAATGGAAATCAAACGTTAGCCAATAGGACACGTATTTATTTTTGACTGATGATGATTTGGGCGTATTCAACCGAACATTTGAGCGATGGAAATTGTGACAGAATGTGTCAATTTCAAAACAAAAAATTAAAATTAGCGAGTCTTTATAGTAAAATAAACCGAATAATATTATATGGCCACATGGCATTAGACCTTACACCTGTTAAAAGTGTTACAAAAAGCGGAGACGAGTATTGTCGAGTTTGTGGTGAATTTGTTATTCACAGTGGGTATTTTAGTATATACAGTAAAAGGATCGTCGCCTCGGTAGATTGAACTTTGAAGCATTTCTTGTTCATCATATAATACAAACGAATATTTGCCGTCCAAGGCCCTGTTTATATGTTTCGATATATATAGGCCTATAAAGACTCCCATCTTGTCTTGACATGCTTGATTACTAGACAGCCACGCACTCGAAATTCCCTCTTGGCTAAATAGCAAACATATCACGGCGATGCATTAACTGAAACACAGAAACAAGGCATCATCTTGATGTTTATTGAGTTTTGTAACACCGTCCAGTAAAAAAATTCAAAATCGAATCAACCGCGACCGAGTTGTTGAAATCATCTCGCAAGACTCGCAAAACTAGAGGCATATATATTTACGCCTGACTATGTTACAAATATAAAATTATTATATTAAACAACAGCGTATGCCTGTACGGATTCTGAACGATAATATCTTGAAGGACATACGGTTCAAACAGCCAATGAAAGTCATTGTTTTAACAAGTCCCTGCCGTTAATCAATTAACACTGTGATCCAGATTCTGGATCACTTCACACTATTAAGCATCGTGATTGGTCCGGTTCGATCTGAGAAACCATAGAAGTGTTCAAGAGGTTCTTCCCGCTCGCCGCTTCCCAGCTTGAATCCTCGTGTATCCCTCATTATCCCCCTACGAGCGTAGAAGAACCTCTGGCACCCAGGTAGAAAGGCCTCTAAATTTTTTAAAACTCTGTTGAAAATATATTAGTAGTTTTAAATTTACTGGTTGAAAAAATATTAGTAGTTTTAAAAATGTACCACAAAACAACAAATAACAATTTTATGGACCTTTAATATTAATATCCATAAATGGAAACCAAATAAATAGTCTTTTATGTTCATGTAAATTGGTCTCCATTATGTATTTTTGTTTCTTTAATTAAATAAACAGCTAGAGTCGGGGGGAGCTCCAAAATTTATATTCTTGTTTTGCCTGTTGGAGGGGGCTTTGAAAATTCTACTTGTCTGAAGAGGGGGGGGGGCAATGAAAAAATATTATAACTGTAGAATTTTTCCTCAGTCCCCCTGCACAATAAATAATGAGCGGTCCCTTAGATAAATTTTGCCCACAAAAACAAAGGCAAACTAACTTGTAATCTAAATAATGGAATTTCATGTTTGTTAACTTTGACAGTGAAAACGTTCATGAAAATAATTTTTAATGAAAATATTACATTTCTTTTCCAACTTACCCGAAAATTTAATTTTATATATAGACATATTGGAAATCATTGGGCACTTCAATGAACTTACCACACTTCACCCATGCCAAATAGAAGTTATTAGTTTTATTCAACAATTTCCAATTACCATGGAAACAATCGGATAACTTCTTTTCGATTCCCACACATTTCATGTTTTCGTTTGTCACAACATTTCCCATCACGTTAGTCAAGTTATAGATAGTCCAAAAATTAAGTGGCCTTATAAATCCTAATTCACGACAAGCCACTCTAGTTTGACGCGTGGTGAATCTCGCGCTGTCCCAAAACCGCCATTTTCCACCAGAATAGATCTGTATATTTCCAGCACTGCTGTTTGTTGGTAATCCTGTATACGGGTCCACCATGCGCACAGAAAAACCTATAAATAATTAAGTTTTTGAGTTTGTAATCTGTCTATAGCGGTATGGTTTATATTTGACAATTTGACAGTAGCGGCGCCAGGGGGGGGAAAATGCCCTCCCCCCAATTATTTTTGCCCCCCCATTTTGCCCCCCCTCAAAAAAAATTATTAGTCACTAAGAGCGACTAAAGGCTACACAAGCGTTCTGTCGTTATCGGAAAATGTATGGTTTATAAGTTATCATTACTCATTAGTGAATGCGCGTATACATGAAACTGTTTTTTACAGTTTCAATATTAGTTTGTAAATCTCTGAATGGTAAAACTTGCCAATACTCCAATAATACGTTTCAAAAAGCTTTAGTTTTGAAGAGTTAAATTGTCAAACGTGTAAGGCAATAATAAGATGAAAGTATCACGAAATTATTTGAATAAACCACATCGCATATATGGGGGGCGAATGTCCTAAAGAGGGGCGATATTCCTAGGGTATTCGCCCCACCCCCCTGGGAGGCGATATTCCTAGGATATTCGCCCCCCGGGGGCGATATTCCTAGGAATATCGCCACGTTTTGAGGGGGGGGGCGAATTTCCTGGGGGGGCGACCTTTTTAAAAATTTTATCTTGCCCCCCCAAAATTTGAGTTTGCCCCTCAAATGCCCCCCCAAATTTGGAAGCCTGGCGCCGCCACTGCAATTTGACAATGAGACTGAGTTACTAGTGGTCCCTGCGAGATATCATCAGTGAAAATAATCGATATAATTATATCCTTCATTTTGTAATTTGTCTATGTACTGTATACTATTTCTAACAATTATAATTAGACTAACGAGGCCGAGCCAGCAGTGCTCTGCGGAAGGATATCAATACTGAAAATAATCGATATACAACAGTTGGGAATTTCGTCTGAGCATGCGCTAAAATTCGCGTGGTTAACAGAAAAGAGACCTGGGGCGAATAAATGTGACAATTTGTTTTTTGAGCGTTTTATTGAGCAAATTATTTTAAAGGCACGAGAACGCTCGGAAACTAAAAAATTGTATAAAAATACAACTTTTGCGTAACTTTAGTCACATCAGAATTGCCTCGCCGTCCGACGGAACTGTCTAAAAATTCCTACTATTGCGAATTTTGAGGTGAACAAATTATCTCTCAATAAAAAGTAATTAAATGTTTTATATTAAGCAAAACTTTAAAACATATTTGGTTTTGAGGCTTGGAAAATTTTGAAATGTTTTAATTTTTGTTATTTCATTGTGCTAATCTTCGCCCCCATAAATCACCTTGTATTAAATTGGAGGGAGAGGAAAAGATATTCGTGTGATTTCAAAACTATTTATATTTTTTGAATCAATAGTCTCGGATGTGCTTTAACAATCAGGATTATCAAAAATATAATTTCTAGTGGTATATTTTAAGGCAACTTTTGGGACTATTACTGACTATCAGTCAGACAGTCGTGCAGTTTTCCGTATGACCGTATCAGCGCGAATTTTCATATCAAATAATACTTTGATTAGTGAATTAAGAAAACTTCGCGGAATCATTTGGAGATTCTTAATTAAGTCGAAAATGTAGGAAATTTTAAGTTGAAAATTCAGTAAGTTTTCAGCCTATTTTAGCAAAATTACGAGTGTTTTCAAGGACGTAATCATAGGTGTCTAAAGGTGTCGTTGAGTAGAAAAAAATATTAAAATTAAATTTTAAACCCACTGTGTGTTTAGTTTTATCTGTCCAGGGAGTCAAAACAACTTGCATCTTCGAAAATATTTAATTTTCGCCAATATCTCGTCGTAGACTAATTGAATATAAATACTTTATAATTGCGCCATTTCAGTGTAAGGTTTTTTATATATACAGGGCATTTTCATCCATAACCTTTGAATAAACGAATTTAATCCAATTTTTTAAATAATTTTTTAAATAATTTTAGCGAGCGCCCGCAGTTTACTGTCCAGCGACAACAACTTCCTACCTGTTTCGACATTCCACTGTTGCAAACTTTCAATCACGAAATTAACTAAGGTCTAAAGTTTATTATTATAATTAAATAGATTGTGAAGTCACTACCGTCACTACGTGTCCTAAGATTGACTATATATTAGCTTCAAGCTAAAAATGGCAACACGCATTAACCTGCATGTATAGCCTACAACTCATTTATCTGCCAGCAAATAACGGCTAAATTATATATCTATAGGTTGAGCCCGGGTTATATCATTTTATAGCAAGCTGTATAGCTTTACATAAATGAATGAATTAGCTTTTTGTCCAAAACTCGCACTTTGAAATTTTTTTGAAATCTTATGAGAATATTTTGCTGTTCTTGATGCTATTTTGTTTAATCTAATTTTTTATGTGACATTAATAACAATAGTAGCTACCATATAGACATCCAAACTTATTTCAGCCCTATACATGCAGCCTTCGGTTTCGCCTGACATACCAGTTAATAACGTGATCTTGTAATTTCGGATGGCACAAAATATACATCATTAATTGCAATCAGTATTATTTTTAATTAGTATATATGAATAATTTAATATATTTTAATTTTTGGATAATTGTTTTATATTTTGGCAAATAAAGAACATTTTAAATTAACGAGTTAAAACTCGTCAATTTAAAACATATATAGCAAAAAATATAAAGCTACATATGCATATGAATAAGAGTAGTTTAATTAACCGGATAAATTCCTAAATAAATAACTGCGAAGCGATTCTCACCTTCCACGAAGACAATCAGCATGAAGTGAATACAAATGTTCGTCGAAATTTTCGCACTGAAACTCATTCTTTCTTAATCCTGCAATGATTTAAAGTTTGTGAGTTCATGGCAAGCTCGCCTAGGAAAATAAATGCGATTTCTGAATAAGACATGTAGACGTCAAATAATAATACAATTACAGCAGTTTGCTAGTACGGTGCCCCGAAGCATACGCAAATGAAAAAACAAGTTATTATATACAGACAGTGTATTACAGCTATTAGCCTACAAGCTATATAATAAAATCGTATTATAGTTTAATTTGGTATAGTTACCTAAACAATCGCCTTACTAAGCTGCCCAGAAGTATGATCATAAAATGAGGAAGATTATTATAGTTAGACGTAGTATCTGTAAATGAGTCTTCGAGTCAATGTCAATTGACTTTTATGGATCGCTTATTAACGTAAAGAATCGGATTTATATATTTCCCCATGGGATCCGGAAGCATAAACATTTCGAACCAATGGGAGCCAATAAACAGACATTGCATGCGCTCTTTATGGGAAACGATTTTGAAAATGCTACATGGGGAATGAACATCCTATTAATAAAAAAAATAAGGTAAGTTTAATCCTCTTTTGAACATGTTTTCACGCCACTGGTCATGGTGTTTTAACGTGTACACCTAGAACATCCTCCTGCTATATGCTCCGACTTGAGTCATGATACCTTTGCTTTAGATCTAATGAATGCGCTGGATTGCTGAATAATCAACATTAAGGGGTTAAGGAAAATATGGGAAGTGACATCTACATGTCGATAATTAAGTGACACAGCAGTTTTTGTGTAGTCTCTATAGGGCAATATCGTTGAGACCTCAAATAGGAACGATTTTCGTTTCCACTTGAAAATAATGTCTTTTTCACAAGCGGAAAAAGTTAGATCAACAATCTGAGATCTCATTCTATAGTAGCTAGTTTTGTAATGTTGTAGCAGTTGAACAGAACGTACTCCCATGCGAAACTGATTATCTGTCAATTAGAGTCTTCGCACAGATTTTCCATTTTGGAACCTATCAGTATCCATTTTAGATTTCCACTAAGCATTCCACAGACTATACACAGATGGCTAAAATTAAAGACTAAGAGAATTAACGAATTCGAATTCGAGAACATAAGGATATTTACAAATTCTGTAATCATCTATTTTTGAAAGAAGATAATATATCATAAAATATATAAATATACCATTACACAGTAGGCTTAATTATTTTGGTGCATTAATTGTGACTTAATTGTGACGATTCAATTACCTGAAAAACATGCAGCATGCACAATAATTGCGCACTGCAGGCATGTATATAACTGCGTGTCTTGGACCTAGACCTATATATAAAGGGGCCTCAAGTTAAAGTAAAGAGTGAGATATACATAACTATAGATTTACATGCAGTCTCCCAGAATGCAGCCATGCCGATTTGTAAGATCCAGATTTCAATTTTCCGCTCAGGAGGAATATGCCTCCACGGTATCCTATTGCTAAATGAAGGTTGACAATAAGAGTATTGCATGGTTTCAATACTATCCCGCGGGGGTTGTCCATATTAATTACAGCATACTTTTGTATGCGTTTTCGCAGATGGTCAATGTAGGCTACGATGGAAAACGGACGCCTTTATCTATATAAACCATATCGTCAATATAAAAACCTCAGATTAGGCTATATATATATTAGACGTTTTAAGCATGCAAAGGCGTTTCCTCTGGACGTTATACATACCTATAGGCCTTGATTATATCTCTGATGCCGTTATGGAGTAAAAAATATTTAGAAATTGTAATTTTTTGTCTTATTATCGGGCATAAATTAAGGCTTAAAAGAAGCCAAAGACACGAATTAATAATGTATTTGCTTTAAATTCCGCTACAAACGACACATTGACCTAATAAAGCAGTGTGAAACCATGTTGAACAATGTACGTTAATATTTTCCTTCGAATTAGAATAGGAGTGGGCTCTACTACCAAATAATAAAAAGTATTTCCCCATATACTAATTTTGCACCACCTGCGCAATAATAAAGTGCTAGTTAATTAACTGCGCACAAATTCATTGGCGAGTTCTTCATAGCGTTTCAATTTTCATTGCATGCAATCAAGTGTTGAGCAAGTTTAGTATAAATTTCTGAAAAATCCATGAAAAGTTTTGTTGCTCAACACGTATGGGATCGGGACTGCATTTTACTCCTTCTGTAATTATTATTTTTAACTTATCCTTCCTGGCGGCCTAACATA